AAATCCAAAGAAGAATCAGCAATAATATTAGTCCTGATCTGGCGGCACAGCTCCAGTCATTTTCCAATCGCCGTAAAGTTGCTTTTCTGCGCCTTTTCTATAAATACTTTCATGGTAAGCATTCGGACAAGCTATTCGTTATGATACCCTAGATATTTATTTTAAATTTAAGCGTAGTACTAAACAGGCGTCTAGATATCATCATTTTACAGTTGAGCTGGCTAGATTGTAGCCGTAATTTCTATGCTTTTCTCGCACTTCTCGCTTGTGGAACTACCTTCCGGCTCCATGCTTTCCAGCCAACTTTAATCTTCAATAATTTCAGTACAATGTCAAACGCTATCTATTGTTTTCCTGATTACTATTTCTTCTTTCAGGTCATTATTAAGGTTTCTGTTTCTAATTATTACTGGCTTTACTACCTTGCATGGGGCGATAACGATTAAAAGAGACATTAAAAAGAAACCTAGACCACTCGTAGGGATGCACTGGCCGATGAAAAAGCACAGCGACTGTAATTATTCAATGATGTGATTTAAGCTTCCTGCCTCAAGTTGAGACAGAATTTACATATTTTATTAAAGGAAACTTAATTAAGTTGCGATGTTCCTAAATATTGAAAGGTAAAGGAAGAGAATTTATCTCCGTAGCTTAAATAAACGGTTATTTCAAAATTCCTTGAAGGTTTCTCAGACTGACAGACATCGTAAGTCCTAAGAGCACAACGACCGAAAGATTGTGATTAGTAACAAGCAAGATGACATATCGACTGAAAATAACAACTACCCATCACACCAGAAAATGAGAAAAACGCTACGAAGGAATTGTTTTAGTTATAAACATCTACGGTCGACGTCAGGATCATTGAGCCGACGTAGACGATTACATCGGCTAGTATAATAATAAAGATTTCTTAAGGGAAAAAATATAGTTACTTTAACAAGAGGCAGTAGCAGATTTTCCCTTCTCTCAAGATACAGTGAACCATTCGTTTTTCACCACTTCTTTCTTCCTTGTGTTAAGAAGCTCTATAAAATGCGAGGAAGGCAATAAAAAGTCTGTCAGGACAAGACGCTATCTGTGATGAATCGATTTGAAAATGACGGTGTCAAACGTCTTTTCGAAAAATATAAATCAGGTGGAAATCACTGTTGTAAATTACGAATTCTTCATGAGCTTCTCGATATGATTTATACCCAGATGCCTCTTCGGTGATAAATTCTTAAAGGCAATATTACAAGAACAATTTAATTACTGTCTCTGCCAATGAGTTCATTTAAGCTCTTCATTTTGGAAAAATACTTTATAAGATAGTATTGCTCGCTTGTATTACGTTAACGGCTTCGAGCTTTACTCAGTGCCCGTCTCACGTAAATTCTAACAAGACGATGATAAGCTTTGACAGTATCGATAATTAGAGTTAATTACAAAATTAAACAATAGTTCCCAATCTAATTTTACAAATTATTACTTTTTTAAAAAATGTCGAATCAAGCCCTTCAATTGTTTTCAAAGACTAAGTAATTTTTTTATGTCTTCTTTTCTCACCGTTTTCGCAGGTATAAATTGTTATGAAGATTTTTAGAGTACTATTATAGCATACAATATGAAATATCTTTTCTGTCCAAAATATTTTCCCTTCGTTTGTACAAAAGAAGTTGACTCAATTGTTATTCTTTGTATACACTGATGATAAAATCGTATATGGACGTCTGCAAAAAGCCTTGGTGACCAGAGCTTGGCAGCTGATCTCTCTTCTGAGCTAAATCTTGCAGCTCAGTGGTGGGGGCTGATAGATCATATTTAGTGTCCACCATGGCTGATTGAAAACCAGAACTTTCACTAATCGTGATGGACGGATGTTCCTTCAAGGAGGCCCCGTGTCTTCAGCAACTATTGGTTCTTAAACTTAACCCAAATCTCAAGTGGAACTTGTACATACAATCCATTGTTAAAGATGCAGGGAAAATGGTCGATTCCCTGTATCGCCCCAGTTCGTGCGTAATTCACTCCTGGTATCCTCTACCTTTAGAAGAGCCAGATCAGTCTAAAAATGTAGTAACCATTTTAAATAGAAGTGCTTAGAAAGAAAGTATAAAGAATGTGGTCGTCTCGCCAGACTACAGAGATACTATCAGAGGCTATGGCTTCCGCAGCGGTCTTATGGCAAACACAACATTCCCCAGGTCCAACAACCATCATATTCCCCAGATCGTGCTCTTTCGACATTTTCCTCTCCAAAAATCAAATCCCACTTGAAAGTAACAAGATTTCAAAATGTCGATGAAATTCAAGACAATGCGACGGAAACGGCTAATTTCGCTATTACCAGGATCGGTTGCTTCAGGGCCTTGATATTTAACGTGATTTCGCCTTTCCAGATATCGCTCTTGCAAGATTATGGATTAAAATTCTGGAGATTTAAGTTTGAGGGTGTCTAAACTGATTAGGATATAAACCTGATTACGAACGACATTGATAAGATATATTATGTAGTCAAGTTCTCATAGGTATAATTTTATGAATGTATGCGATAACAACGATGCAGTGACAAGTACATTAAAACGGAAGACGATCTCATTCATCAGATAATAGAATTGCGAACATCAACATGACGAATGGCGACATGGATATATGCACTTTGGGAAAAATAAATTTAAAAGAATCTGCAGACATACGATGCACAGATTATTCGAAATACAGATATTAATAGATTGTAGAAACCATTAATCAAAGAGCTAGCGATGAGGTTATAGATGTTAAATGGGTTTAAATTAAAATCACGCGGTTCTGCATATGTCAAAAGTTAGACAATCCCAGTAATACAGAGGCGTCTGCACTGGATACAAGATACTTTCTAAATCCCATAATCCAAACAAAAAAAAATCGAAGTTGGATGGCAAACCGCTCTAAAAATTCCCCAGACTTAATCTATATACAGCGTCTCAAAGAAGTTAGGTTTATATTCTTAATACAGTAAAAAAAAACAAAAAAAAACAAAAAGGCAGAATACACTCTTGTCAGCAAAAAAGACAACTCGTATTGTGAACTGCATATTGAGGAAATCAGAATAAAGTGAATCCAGTAATCTAAATACGTACAATTCGACCTCAAGATTTTTAGCTCAATTTTCTGAGTTTAGCCTATACCTAACGTATAGGCCGACCACTAGACATACGGTAGGCTACAAGCGGCCCAAAATTCAAGCCTACCCGTAAATGAATTTAAGTTTCTGTATACGATAACCTGTGTCAAAACTACATAAAGTACCCCAACTTATATTATAGACACTAAACTTAATACATTTCTGTATAGATTGTATAGCAAACAACCTACAACACACACAAGTAGGTACCGTCTTGTTATGATTTAGTGAATGTTTAAAACTGGAAACGTTTACCGATAAACACATTAATGTCAAGATTATCTCTTATAAAATATTAATACCATAGATTACACATCACACGAGGTAGTTCTTTTATATACTGCTACATATCGTAAGTTATTGCAAAACGAAATATCATTCATTTGAATGTAATCATTTCATGTAATCATTTGATGTGATCAAACAAATGATGTATAGAGTTTGTGTTACTATTTTATTATGTTATATTGATTTCTGTGTTAATATGTTAACGAAACACAAGTTTTAGTGAAATATATTTGCGGAGGCTTGGGCATCTCGAAGCGGTGTATTGGTTAGCAAGCTTCCCTCGCTAGAACAATTACGACTAAATAGTGGGTTCGATCCTCACTGGCTGCCCCATACTTTCGGCCTTGTGCCACATCTAAGCTACGCTTAGAAGATCACTATATTTGAGACAGTTTACAGGAGGTTCGTTGAGTGATGTACAATAAGTGAAGTGTTAGGAGTGTTGTACCTTCTTGTTTACAACTCGGTGATAAAGATTTGAATTTTATGCCTGCCATATAAATCGACCACTTTCTTTTCTTTTTATGTGTCATGTGCTTTCAGGACGTAGGCGATCATGGCTCTCCACCTGCCTCTATCCCTTACATCTCCTTCCCTTTGCTTCCTCCCCAAGACCACGTTCTGTCATCCACTTCCTTAAGCCCGCCAGGTATGCCACGTGTTGTTTACCCTTGTCTCTCTTCCCCGTGAGTATCAGATTCTCGAGACCTTCCTTCCTCATTACTTTTTCCAGAAACTTCAGCTGCCTTTTCCTGATATTAAATATAAGCCTCCTCCTTGTTTGCAAAGTCTCTAAGAGCTCATCGTTGCTCACACGCTCGGTCCATGATATCAGCATCCTTCTATAAAACCACATCTCCGTCGCCTTCAGTCTCTTCTTGATCGTTGAGGAAATCGTCCAACATTCACTGCCAGAAAGAAGGACAGATGTCACGTAACAGTTCAGTATTCTTCTCTTTGTTACCAAAGAAATCCTCCTGTCTTGTAATACTCTGCCCAGTTTTCAGAATTCGTCCTTGGCCATCCCAATAGATCTACGGATCTCAGTGTCGCTCTTACTGTCAAAACGCTTCCCAGATATTTAAACTTCTGCGTCTGTTTGATTCTAGTGTTCCCGACCTTCAAATTGCATTTAGGGCGCCTCCTATTACTGAGGACCATGTATTCTGTCTTCTTGTAGTTTATGCTTAGTCATTTCTTCTTACTCTCCGTCACTAACTTCTGTAGGAGATAAAGACGTTTAAGGCTTGAAAACTCGAGTTTTACCCTACAATTTACGGTGTCTAAGAAGTGGAGCAACGGAATGTGTGACACGGAAATACGAAGGCAGATACTAATAGCAGGAAAGAAAAAATGTGAAGATATAAAATAATAATGTCAGAACGAAATGAAAGAGTGCTGAACTGCTGTGTGATACCAGAACTTCGATATGACAGCAAATGTTGGTAAATCTCACGAATGAAGAGGAGACTTGAACGGACATAGATGCGGCTCTATCGATGAAAACCCAGAATAACTTAGAAAATACGAGAAACAGCTATCTTTCATAGGAAATTTAAGAAAGCTTACAGCCATGTCACATTGAAACACCAGTTCTCGTAAGATCACCGAAGTTAAGCAACATCGATTTTGATCAGTACCTAGCTGGGTGACCGATTGGGCATACCATGTACTGTAAGTTTTGATGTGCGAATGGTGTAATGGAGAACAGTTCGGAGTGGAAATCGAGGAGCCGAGTTCTAATTCCAGTCTTGTTCGTTATATTCAGTTACTGGCAAATATCACTAGGGAAGGCGTGTATCTACCTCTTCTCCTCCTGATATGGGTTAATCAGTAATACTTGTATCAATAAATCATTATTATCTCCAAAAATTTATTGCAATCTAGAAATAGTTTTTGGTTTTAAATAAACTGCAAAGTGTTAGTAAGCCGTAAAAAACAAATCAATAAAAAAGCAAATTTAAAGAAACGTTATTCGGAAAATAAAGTCCGATTTCAGAAAAAGAAACAGTTTTGTGTTTTAATGTTATTGGAATTGTTGCACAAACCTACGTTAATCATTCCTAATAATTAAAGTCCCCTCTTTGAGGAATTTATGAGAATCACTTTCAGAATTTAATGTAAAACATATTGAACTCCTCATTTTGAACATGAAAAAAGAAGACGAGCCTTTACTTTTTTTGGCATGAATTCAAGTTTGATCATAATACTTCTCAAACTGCTGCTAATATTAAGAGAGTATTGCGGTTGAAGGATCCGCTTGTGATCGGCGCCGGATTCAGAAGTTCCGCAGTAGGGATACGACTCTTAAAGGTTTATGTGGTAGAGGCTGTCCATCTGCAATTATAAATCAATATATGAAAAGTCAATCCACGTCAAATTATCAGAGAAATATCTCAGATAATGAGTGTCAGCAATTCAAGAATATCGGTGCATCTCAAGAGAATTGGCAAGGTGAAGAATCCCGATAAATGGGTTCTACATGAACGCAGTGAATGTCAATGTTTTCGGCGTTTTGAATTGTATTCGATGCTGTATCTACGGCTGGTGCAATTCTTGATTAAATAGTGACTCTTGATGTGAAATTGATCCTTTATAGCAATGGTAAATAATAGATCGGTCAAGGAAATAATAGATTTGACAAGGAAATAACGGTAGAGTATGAGGAGGGGATCGCTCTGAAAAGGATCGTTTTTGCGTTCTCAATCTTGCAAAGGAAGAAGCCTCTTCCATGGACCGGCATAATAATAATAATATACGATAATGTGTTAGAAATATTTCGTTTGTGGGCAAGTGGTTGTAGAGTGGAATATAATTAATCACCGACATGGCCGCATATATGACGTTGAAGTCTATCCAGACTGGAACCTAAGGGCTAGGCATGGCACGCAATAGTCCATTTTGGGCCTGAACAATGTTTGTTAATTTAGAGTGTAACTAGTATTATAACCCGTCTTCGGCCAGGTGTTTCATTGCTGGGAAATTTTGTCGTTCAGTTGGAGCAGTTTAAGTTTAAAATCAGCCTACCCAAAAATCAATATTAGCAACAAAAATTGGGTGCAACTGAGGCATAACCCCATATGAGGAGGGGATCGCTCTGAAAAGGACCGTTTTTGCGTTCTCAATCTTGCAAGGAAGAAGCCTCTTCCATGAACCGTCATAATAATAATAATATACGATAATTTTTATTTGTAATATTTTTTTTATAGTTCTAGTAATCTTTTGCGTTAGATTTCAACTGTCTCACTTGATTGTATGCTGCTTTTTAGAGACATTAAATTTTGCCTTTAATTTTTGAGCAATGTGTAAAAAATCAGTTTTATGAAAAAGTAAGTGTTTCTATGGTAACAGAGCTAATGTACGCTGAGTGAAGACGGTTAACACAGACTGACCTTGAACTCTCTTATACAATTCCCGTTCACACCCATTGTTTTTAGCATTGCTTGGAAAGAAAGTGTGAAGAATGTGGTTGTCTCACTAAACTACAGAGATTCCATTAGCTCATAGCATACGCAGCGGTTTTTGGCCAAATACAACATTCCCTAATTCTGACAACCACCATATTCTTGTCATTTCATCATTTCCCTCTTCATAAATCAAATCCTACTTGAAAGGAACAAGATTTCACGATGTCGAAGAAATTAAAAAAAAATGCGATGAAAAGGTGACAGTACTCAAGATACTTGGTCCTGATCGATTACATTACTGATCCTTCTTTTAATTTTGTTAAGAATTTCGAGATGTACAGTGGCAGCACCAGACCAGATATAGCAACAGTATTCAATGCACGGACCAATGATATATTTATAAATGTGCAAGATGGACTCTTACGAGAAAAAAAAACAGTGAACCAATTTTCCTAGCAGTCGACTTAGCAATTTATTCAATATGGTCACTCCACTTCATTTCAATAGAAAACGTTGGCCCCAGAAGCCGTACAACGTTACTTTCCTAGGAGCTAGCATCAGGCATGTTGATGCCGGGAAGAAATGATTCTCTGTGGTGATTAATGTAAGCAGTTTTGTTTCAGAGGCATTAAAATTAAAAGTTGCACAGGCTTCCAGAAAATATTCTCACTAAGATAATTTAAATAAAAATAGGTGATAATATGAAGACGCAAGGTCAGGTGTGTATGACGTGTGGATTAGCGCATCCTTGCCAAGATGTATCAAATTTTCAAGTCTGCAAAGAGATGTGGGGTCCTGAATGAAGATGAAAGACATCCTTTTGATTGTCTAATTCCAGATGTTATTAAACTTTTTTTTAGAGGCATATCACTTCCTCATGGGTCATTTAATGCCAAAATTTAATTTTCTTGGGAGCATTAGTAATCTTACAAAAATCTGTGCTGTTTTTTTTTTTCAAAAATGCATTGTTGGTAATATTTTTTCTGTTTTTTTAATATATTTCTGGTAACACTTTTACTATAAAATATATTTCCATATATTTATAGTGCTTTGTTGCCAGTTTGGTGGTTAACTATTTGCCCATAGTTGGGACCCTAATAGGTGCTACCACCCGTGTCAATGTGGAATTGGAAATAAAAATTAAGGAGTGCTCCCACACACATCAAAACCTCCCGATTAGAGTCCATGCTGCCGGATGTAGTTTATCGTCATACCCAGGACCTACTTTATTACAGAAGCTGGTTTCAATAATAGTTATTATTTTTTTAAAAAGTAAGAAAATATTTCACCATTTAGCCTGTTCCGAATACTATCACTGAGCCAAAATCAACCAGGATTCAAAAGCTTTATTTGGACTTAAATAAGCCTGGAGTGATTGAAGGACTGTCATATAGAAACCAAACCAAACCAAACCAAACCAAACCAAACCAAACCAATTTCACATTCAGCAAATACATTTTAACCATTTAGCACCAATCAATTTTTCCTTCCAAATACTTAATGTGATTTTCAAGTTTGTTTTCTCTCAATATTTGTCAGTTTCTACGACGCTATCTAGAGCATCGATTACGGCTCTTAATGCAAATGCGCCTCCAATCCTACTATATACACAGGATCATCCTCTTCGGATAGTCTGCTTAGTCGTGGCTCATTTCCTTTTCTCAGGTCATTTTTGTTTCACATTGTTTTAAACAATCTATTTTTTATTGCCCGTGAACGTTCTTTACAAAAATGGATGATTTGTATTGCGTAGAGCATCACCGATGCGAATGTGGCCCTTTACGTTTGTTCGTTACGCCATGACGTTCTAAAACGCCATATCGATTCATCATTTAAGTGGTTTCAAAGGCTTTAAAAAGTTTATATGACATACGAGTAATATTTCTGTAATTCTCAGTCTAGTGTTATCTGGAAGATTTTAAATAGGCGTTTCAATCTGGTTTGAACAATGTACAATAAGTGACAATGTCAAAATAATATCAAGCATGCAAACAATATATAAAAAGCAAACAACAGAAATAAGGCAAATTCATTTATTCAGTTAGAGTATTTTTGTTTCTCGGTTCCCGACTCCCCTTCAGCTCACAATTGTGGTTCATGATGACATTCAAGGCAGCATAGTGCAATGGTTTAATGGTTTTGTTTGCACTGGGGATATTGAGGTTACCCCTTCCCTCTACACAGAACTTAAAGATGGAAGATCTAAACGCTAGCAGGTAGTGTTGGAAGTCTCAGTAAAAAGTTACCTTTCAGAATATGCATATATATATATATATATATATATATATATATATTCATACATGTTTCATTAAAAAATATAGACAAGTGTTGTCTATTTATTTTATGTAAATTCTTTTCATAACGTTGGATAATGCTTAAAAACATTATCATTAAACGAAGACGTTATGAAAAGAATTTACATAAAATAAATAGACAACACTCGTCTATATTATTTAATGAAACATGTATGTAGTTACTGCACCCTGTATCCGTGTATGTTTCTCTTCCTTTTTTTTTCTGCATTAATCCATCCTATGTAACTTTCACTTTCATTTGTTTGTTTATATTCTTTTCCAATATTACGTATTTCTTGTTTTCTCCCTTCATTCATTATTTACGTCTTTCTTTCTTTCTTTCTTTCTTTCTTTCTTTCTATTACAACTTTCACTTCACCTTTTTTCTTCTTCTTTCTTTCTTTTTTTCTTTCTATTACAACTTTCACTTCGCCTTTCTTCTTCTTCTTCTTCTTCTTCTTCTTCTTCTTCTTCTTCTTCTTCTTTCCTGACTTTCTCCCTTCCATATATTTTTCATTCAGCCAATTTATTTAGTGATATTATTTTGTCTCCTCCACGGTTTTGAAGGCAGGGTTGTCCTTCTTCTGAATTGGTTGCCTTAAAGTTTTATTTATACCTTCATGAGGAATAGACATTTTAATGCCTCCAGAGGATTTTATGTTGAGTGAAAAAAAACAGCTTTAACTACAGTTTTAGAGATACCCAAAATGTTTGTATTAACAATGATGTTGAAGATGATAACACTTACATAACACTATGGCGAGCGAAAGAAATTATCTGATAGCAACAAAAATCAATACTAATATCGATATGTTTTACTTGTGTATTGTCTTATCTGTCACGATAAGGCCATTCAATGTCATTGTTTATTTGTGAACGCCTTTGTATACACGGGTAATTTTGTGCGTGAGGAAGAAAAGAGTTGAAGAAAAAGAAGGAAGATAACTTAACCTTGGGAGATTGTTCAAAACAAAAGA